TTGTCCTGTAATGTTGGAGGGTTGAGTTTTTATACTCTTAATGAAATTTTGTAACTCTTGTTGAGTGGGGGTGTGTAAATTACAAGAACATCCTTGACAGATTTCACCTATGTGAGCATGAAAATGGGGCCGCTTTCTATGAGAACCAGACTTATTCTCAAATATGCTCATGAAAACTGGGATAAGCACAAGGCCGTAATGTGCTGACTATTAAAAGCTCATGTTAACACCTGGATTATTATGTGTGAACAGTAACACTTTATTTTCCCTAAGTAGTCATAGTTTAAGTCTAAGACCACTACTGACTTTGGAGTAAAGGTTATTGTTTTACTAATGAAGGTTTCATGCAGAGCACACATTCATGATGCATACTAGTCTATCTTTGTTTGGTAATCTCTCGTGTCCTTGTAGATATTAAAATGAGTGGGGGATTGTTGCACCATTTTAATAGCTTTTATTTATTTATTTATATATATATATATATTGTTCATGAATCTTCTGTCATCTTGTTCATTAATCTCTTCTTATTCATGAATGGAGATTCATTGTTTTGGTGACATTTTGTCATGTTCATGAATAGAGATTAATTAGAATTCATGAACTTGGTGGTAAGTTAATATTTAGATAAACTCTCTCTTTTCTCTAGGTTCATGGTCATTATTTTTTTTGGTGTATTTTGTAAAGTACTAGTGGACTATAAATAGTTTCTCTCATCTACTCTTTTCAAAACCAACACATCAACTATTTTCTATACAATAGAAATTACTAGCAAAGAATGGTGTTTTTTCTTGGTGGAGCTTTCGGTTCACCATCTTGTGCAGAGTTGGCCTAAACCATAGGACAAGAGGTCGGGCTGTTGTATCTTGGAGGAGACAAATCATAGTTTTGTGACTGCTGCATCGGTATTTGGGTTCTTCTTACTGCAGTAGGCTTGATCTCCTTAAAGAAAACAAGATATCTGTGTCTCAGCCTGATCTATTTGTATCTCATTTTCTTTTGCATTATTTATCAGTAAAATATAATTTTTCTGGTATTTTCACCAACAATATGTATTTTTGTGATATATGTTATATATTTTTATGGTAAATTTTACATAATTTTTCTGGTTAAATTATGATAATTTGTGATTCGGAAAGTTAAACATTTTTATGATAGTATTACGCACTTTTTGTGGAAATATTATCCATTTAAAAAATCTTTGGATAACAAAATGTGTAATATTACGACAAAAATGCGTAATATTATCACAAAACGTATAACTACAAATTATTTTAATTTTATTAAAAATATATAACTTATTTATCACAAAAAATATATAATATATATCACAAAAATAGATGACAAGAATGGCGAACATAGAAATCTTGTTAAGAGGGGATCAAACTTTATACATTTAAAAACGATTATACATTTATTTTTTTTTATTTTTTTGCTTAAATTTTATACGTATATTATATTAAAATATTCACTTTATAAGAATAAAAATCGAACATTATCATTTAATTTGTAAATAAAATTTTTAATCAATATCTAATAGTCATTAACAAAACATAAAGTATTAAAATTGAATTATAAAGTAATTTGGGTCATGCTTAAGTGTGCAACCCCCTTAAGGTTGCACACCATATGCAACCCAATTGTTAGCCGTTAGATTACAATAATTGATCAAGACCATTGAATTGTTTAATCGTGAAAAAGTTGAAACCGGGGCAACCGGTTAATGCTTGTATTTGCATGATTGCATCCCACTCACTCTCTGTATTTCATCTCTATCTCTCTATGTTCTCCTCTCTGTGTAAGGTTGACTTAGTGTAACCTTTGATTTCCATTAACAGCGAGAAGCCCCTGCTAGGTTGGTTCCATTGACGAAGCTTTGTGGGGAACAGTATAACGGGCGATTTCCAACAACAACGGAACTACAAGGCTGTGTTGGTTCCATTGCTGAAGTGAAGCCGTTCTCTCCAGCTAGATTTGAGGTATGAAGCGGTCTCCCTCTTTCTCTCTCTCTGGCCTCTTCACTTCAGCTATTTTCCTTCAACTAAACCCCCATCCTAACTTCAACCGCTCTACGCTTCGCTCAAACGGAAACCCCTTCATTGGCAACTAACCTTTCTTTTTCTCAAGCAAGTGTTTGTGTTTGCACAAACAACTAAACCGTGTCAAAATGTCATGTTTGTGTTTGTGTTAACATTTTCGGTCATCAAGTAATTGTTTGTACTAATGTCATGTGCAGTATGGCCCTAGCGGAAGTTAAAAGGGAAGGTGATGATTATGACATTCCAAATAAAGTAGATGACATTCGTTTGATGAATGAAAGTCGGGCAGAACCTTATCATGGTTGCGAAGCTGGTCCGAGCAATGAAGGAGCAACCAACATGAACGTTGAAGATGGCGGAGCTGATGTGAAAAAAGAAATGGTTGACGATGCTCATCGTAATGACATGGTTGGTGATATTGAACGTACTATTCTAGAACAGAAATTTGATTCGGTCGAAGATGGAGAAGCTTTCTACAATGCGTATGCTAAAGCTAAGAGATTTAGTATACGAAAATCCAGATTTAACACTAATAAAGAGGGAAAGGTTGTTAGTAGGCTGTGGTTGTGTTCAAGGAAAGGTTAGAGATTACCAAAATACTTGGACCGTGCTGCTGAGAAGAGTAGAGCTCCCAAGGCACTAACAAGAGTAGGTTGCAAAGCCCAATTTTGCATACGGTACAATGCAGATGTTGGTGAAAGGAGAAAGTATGTTGTGACTCACTTCGTAGCAGACCACAACCATGAATTGGCGGAACAACACTGTGTGATGTATTTGAGGTCACATCGCAGTTTAAACAGCGCGGACAAAGCTTAAGCAATGGCTATGCGCAACATCGGTGTGAAGACTAGCCAAATCATAGACTATATGGTAAATCAATCCGGGTCTTATGAGAATGTTGGTTTCATCCGTACGGATCTGCATAACCATATTCAAGCCAAACGTAGAACAGAAGTTGAGGATGGTGATGCGCAGGGTGCGTTGGTTTACCTATGTGCAAAACTTGATGTTGATGCACGTTTTTTTTACAAGTATGATGTGTGTAATGATAACACGTTACAAAATCTGTTCTGGGCAGATTCGAAATCACGGGCCAACTATGCAAAGTTTGGTGATATGTTGATATTTGACTCAACTTACAGAACCAATGCATACAAGAAACCTTTTGTCATGTTAGCTGGTGTGACTAGCCACTTTAGGACCAAGATATTTGCATGTGTTTTGCTAGCTAATGAGACAATTGATACATACACATGGGTTTTGGAAACATTTATGGAGGCGATGGGTAATAAAGCACCTGTGTCCATACTGACAGATGGGGATAAGGCGATGTGAGAGGCAATCAGAAAAGTATTTCCAGACGCAAGACATCAATTATGTAATTGGCATCTTGGGAAAAATGTTGTTTCAAATGTTCACAAAAGTGGCTTTGCACACGCTTTCAAGCAGTGCATGGACATGGAAATGGATGAGACAAAGTTTGAGCATGGCTGGACGACAATAGTCGAAAAATTTGGACTTCAAATCAACAGTTGGGTGTTAGAGACAAATAAGAAGTGTCATATGTGGGTTGAGGCATATATGCGTGGACATTTCTTTGCTGGGATGAAGAGCACTCAGCGCTCGGAGAGTATAAATGCTTATTTCAATCCCTTCCTCCAACACAAATTGAAGCTATATGAATTTGTTAGGCACTATGATCGGGCTCTTGCAAGGATAAGGTATAACGAGGCTGGAGATGATGTTGAAACAAATAACACTTTTTCAGTATTGGTTACTCCATTGCAAGATATAGAGAGACATGGAGCTGAGCTATTAACCCGAAATATATTTAGAATGTTCCGTGATGAAATCTTAGAAGAGGGGAAGTTGAATGTCAATGACGTGTTCCCTTTGCCAGATGGTCAGAAATGCTACTATATTCATAACTACAAAGTAAAGGATAGATCATGGATAGTAACACACAGTCCAGTGGATGCTGCAATGAGATGTTCTTGCATGAAGTTTGAGTCGTTAGGGCTACCTTGCTGCCACATGATATGTGTTATGAAAGCCGAAAATTTAACGCAAATTTCCCTAACTTGTGTGTTGCATAGATGGACAAGGGCTGCAAGCAAGGATGGCCAGCAATGGCCTCAACCCTCAATTGATAGCACTGTAACATAGACAGCTCGGTATGGGATATTGAGTTCTTCCTACAATGAAATGTGTTTCTATGCCTCGCAATCAACGGAAGGTTTCAAAGAGGCTAGGGATGCATGTCTTCCGATGACGAGCCAGATGAAGGAGTTATATGAGAGGAATCTGAATGATGGGGATGGAGACAAAGGGAAACATTCATTCCCTCGACAATTTGGAGTAGAAGATCCTGATGTTGTGAAGACAAAAGAGAACCCGGGACGGGCCTCGTCCAACAGTCGAAGACCAAGAAAATGTGGGAATTGCAAATGCATTGGGCACACAAAGCGAACGTGTCCTAAGGTTCGATTTAGCCGAACAGTGGGTAGTAACTTAGATGCAGATACAATCCACATAACTGACCGTAAGTACAATGCGGAGTCATTGCCCGTTCGCTGCAAAACTGGGTTGGTGGATCCAAGTACACCGCACATTAAGCAACGGCGACTATTTTTTGATGTTTCTCCTGATTCCAAGCAGCCTGTGGGCCAAAACCGCCTAATTTGGAACAAATCATCTCATGTTTGTTTGTTTGAAAATGGTTTGAAGGTGCTACTCGCAAGTAAGCTAAGACATGGATTTGCCACCCTCAAGTGGACTTAGAAAACATGATTTTGCCACTCTCAAGTGGGCTTAAAACTCGCATTTCAATGAATTGTTCCAATTCAAGTAATCCAACCTTCACCCACAGGCATTCAAGCAGTTATATCATTTAAGCAAATAGCCTCACGTCAAGCATGCTATCATGGCAACACTCACACTCATGCAAGATGCTAAAGCATAAACACTTACAGTGTACTCCGAGCCAAAACAATAACTAGTTAGTAATCATGCATGATCCTAGTTTATGTTAAGATGGCTAATGCAACACAACAGGCATTCAAGCAGTTATATCATTTAAGCAAATAGCCTCATGGCAAGCATGCTATCATGGCAACACTCACACTCATGCAAGATGCTAAAGCATAAACACTTACAGTGTACTCCGAGCCAAAACAACAACTAGTTAGTAATTATGCATGATCCTAGTTTATGTTAAGATGGCTAATGCAACACATGCAAAATGCAACTAGAATAGGCTCGGCTATCTAAGAATGGCATGTGAAATGCGACAACTCGATACACGTATTCAAGTTGGGATTGAAATGCTATGCGGTTAGTATGATGCGCCGAGCCTAGTGCATGCAATACAAATGAATGATGCAAACATGCGAGCATAAGGATGCTAATTGAAACATGACCTAAGACTAACCATTGAAAGCAAGTAAGTAAAAAGAAGAAAGACGTAGGGTTGGAAGATATTCACATACTCACGCACACTTATTACAAAATTTTTCCTCTCGACGGAGGGTCCGAATAAATAATACAAACCACCTAATTAACTAACTAACAAGCTAATTAATTATTACACAATCAAATGAATAACTAGCTACAACTAATTATTATAACATTTAAATAATTAACAAATTAATTAAGCTACGAAAAACAGTAAAGAGGCCTCAGGGAGAGGGACAAATGCATGCTTGATCGGCTTCGCTCGGAAATCCGTTGCCATGCCTCATGTTGCCTCTGTTTGCACTGTTTTTCACCTCTGAAAATTGTGAAAAAGTCCTGTGATGCTTTGAATCACCTTCTGGGTGCTGTGAGAGGCCGTCGACCAGGTGGAAAGGCCATCGACCAAGGAAAACTGCTCATCGACCAATAATAGGGCTCTTGGCCAGACACATTTAGCCGATCGGCACTGAATATGGTCGACCGATCATCTATTCCTGCAGAATGCTCTTATTGCTGCAACAGAGGACAAACATAGCATGGTAATGCATTTTCAAGACAATGTTTGCATAACCACCCTCCTTATCATGTTATGAACTCAAGGGAGTGTAGTTCTCGCCCCTCGGGCCATCAATCACGCATTTCAATGCGTGATAGCCAAAGAAGCCAAGTGTGCAAATGAATATGGAATGAATGCACAAAACACATGAAGGCCTCACACTCTATCATGTTGGATCAAGAACGTCAGTGACTAAGGATTGAGGAACGTTTCGTCACTTCAAGTACGAACGTTCCTCGTTCCTCGTGTTTGGTTTGACACCCCAAACCAAACGCAATGCAATGAATGCAAGTATGCCAAATACAATGCAACATGGAAATGTAATGCTATGACCCCAAACCAAACACAATGCAATGCATGCAAGTATGCCAAATAAAATGCAACATGGAAATGTAATGCTATGCAACCTAAGCATGCACAAGGCTAAGGTAACAAGCATACCAAATGCAATGCAACCTAATCAAGCATGTAACAAAATGCAAACTAGCAAGCATGCAAAATGAAACCTAAACGTACAAACATGCAACGTAATAGGCATGAGATAACAATGTCAATAACAAGGATGTGACAACATACAATGCGATAAGCTTGCAACGACACACAAACCGCATGATCCAAGGACTTACATTGAAAATGGATAGGCCTCAGCCACACCAAAAACAGTGGCCAAAATGTTGAAATGATGGCATGAAATGCAAGACAATGCATGCACATGCTCTAGCCCACCAACTAAGCATAAAAGCATAACTCTCAAAAGTGCTCAAGGAGTGACAAATGTGAGAGTATAGCAACACTATGAGCACTGAAATAAGGTATGAAATGATGACATATCATGCAAGCAACACAAGCATGGCGTGCTAGGGTCCTTAAGCATTAAAGCTAATGAAGTACACATCACTAAGGCTATACCATGCAATGCTCAATGGACTAAACCAACCCTAAACAGTCCTCATGCATGCCAAAATAATAGTCAAAATGCTCTGAAATGCTAGCATTGAAAGTAATAAAATGCGTGCTCATGCATTGGCCCATGAACTAGGCACAAAGGTGCAACTCTCAAGAGCACTTAAAGAGTGAAAAACATGGAAGTCTGACAACACTATATGCTCTAAAATATCATTCCAAATGGTGCCATGCCATGCAAAAGGCTCAAATAAAGCATGCCAAGCGACTTGAAATACAAAGCTAGTTAAGGGTTTTACACTACAACCATACTAAGCAATGCTCAAATGACCTAAAGCACTCAAAACAGACCTAAGGCAAGTCAAAATGGTGGCAAAAACATGCTAGACTCGCAACAAAGATGGCAAGAAAGATAGGCTCCCGAATTAGCTCACAAATAAGGCATAATGGCACAACTCTTAAATACAATTAAAGAGTGATAAACATGAGAGCATGACAGAAGTTTATGGTCTGAAATTACCTACCAAATGATGCCAAGGCATGCAAACATCACAAGTATAGCATGGTAGAGGCCTCAAAACTCAAGACTAGTCAAGGCATTTGCACTATAGCTATGTAATACATGAAGCATATGGCCATGGCAGCCCAAAATAATCCTAGAATAGCCCAAAATATGAATAAAATCATGCTGGAGCATAGCCAAAATATGCTAGAATAATGAGACAAAACATCATGCATACAGGGCTAGTAAGTAAGATTTGCACTACAAGTATATGAAGCATGCAAGAGGCTATCAAACCAACTTTAGACAGAGTTATGACATGCTAAATAATGACCAAAAACCTGCTGAAATGAAGCCTGTACATACTTAACAAACATGCTACTATGGTGAGCCAACAATGCAAGCAAATGAGACACAAAGGGAGAGGGGGTGTCCCTCCCCTATTCAAGACCTCAAAACCACTCCACCACTAAAAATCCTCTGGATTTCAGTGGTGAGAAGGTCAAAACAAAAAGGTTTCAAAGCTCAAAAAGAAGGTCACAAAATAAGGCCAAACAAGGCCTAAGAGGGGATAGACAACTCCCAACCCAAAAGTAACCTTAAACAAACATATTTAGCATATAAAAACAGAACTTTTTTCAGTTGGACACTAAGCTTAAAACAGTATGCAAGTATTGCTAAAAGCTTAAGCAAAAATGGGGAATAAAAGAGTAGTTTCTCACCATTGAAGAACACTTCAAGAACACCAACTCCAACACCTCCTTCTGATCAAAACCAACTCAAAAACTCTGAAATCAACTCCTTAGCACCTCAGTAACTAAGGGATAGTGTACCACTAGGTGCTTTAGTGCAAAAATATGAACAAGAACACCCTTTAGAACACTATTACACACACAACTATAGAGAGAGAGGAGATATAGAGAGAGAGTGATATATATCTTCTATATCAGTTGGTTGAACCCCTGGAAAGGGAGGGGAGGCTCTCCTTTTATAGGAAGTCCAATTCAAAGCTTCCAAGAGAAGCTAAGTGTTGGTTCAAATCCCTCCATACACGTGTATGGAGGGCAGAGTCTTTGCTCACCAGCTGGCACAGCTGGCATGCACAATGCCTGAAAAAGGCAAAGAAAAGGCCTCGGCCAGAAAATGTGGCTGATTGACCAAAACAAAGGCCGACCGACCAAAACAATGGCCGACCGACCAAATAAAGTGCCGATCGGCCAACACTTTTAGCCGATAGCAAGAAAATAAGGTCGGTGGCCTCAGGCCATGGCCGGTGGGTTAAGGGGATATCCAAAAAGCCATTTCCTACCCTTAGGTGCAAAAATCACAAGTCCTTGGTCCACAACCAAGCACAAAACAGTCAAGTTGAGTGATTCTAAGGAAATGCGTGCAATCGAGACCTTCGGGAACTCAAAACGGACACGAGCATGGATGATCATCGAGTGTTCAAACGATGATGTCCAAGTCTTAAGGACGGTCAAAAATGGAGTGTCTACACATTGGGCACACAAAGCGAACGTGTCCTAAGGTTCGGTTTAGCCGAACAGTGGATAGTAACTCAGATGCAGATACAACCCACATAACTGACCGTGAGTACAATGCAGAGTCATTGCCCGTTCGCTGCAAAACTGGGTTGGTGGATTCAAGTACATTGCACATTAAGCAACGACGACTATTTTTCGATACTTCTCTTGATTCCAAGCAGCCTGTGGGCCAATACAGTAGTGTTGAAGCAGCAGTGTGCAAAAATGA